CCCCTGGGAGGAGCCCAGCCCTCCCCCAGCCATTCCCTGGGGGCTCAACCAGGCCATTGGGGCAGAACCAGCCCCTCCGCTCGCCCGTGGGGAAGGCTTTCCAGGAATTCATTTCCTGCCCTTCAGATTTTCTGCTCCCTTTTGTGCCCTGTCTTCCTGGCACAGGGAACGAGCCTGCCTGGATTCTCCCTCTCTCCCCAGTAGGTGCTGGGATGGAGGAGGATAATCCCAAGCAGGAAGGGCTTGCAGGAAGGGATCCTCGCGGGTTGTCCCGGGGCGCTGAGCAGGGAGAGGCCAGCGGGACTGGACGGCAGCAGGAGACAGAGGTGATATCTCTGGATGACACGGACATCAGGATGATGATGGAGCACAACCAAGCCCAGGCTGAGGTGCGCCCCTACAGCTGCTCAGACTGCGGGAAGAGCTTCAGCCAGAGCTCCCACCTGGTCCAGCACCAGCGCATCCACACGGGCCAGAAGCCCTACAAGTGCACTGAGTGCGGGAAGTGCTTTGTCCTCAGCTACAACCTCATTGATCACCAGCGCATCCACACCGGGGAGCGCCCCTACAAGTGCGGCCAGTGCGGGAAGGGCTTCATCCGGAGTTCCCACCTCTTCCAGCACCAGCGCATCCACACGGGCGAGCGGCCCTACCAGTGCAGCAAGTGCGGGAAGAGTTTCAACCGCAATTACACCCTGGTGAAGCATTACCACACCCACATCGGGGAGCAGCCCTTCATCTGCAGCGAGTGTGGGAAGAGCTTCAGCCTCGGCTCCTTCGCCCAGCACGTCCGCACCCACACGGGCGAAAAGCCCTACAGCTGTGCCGAGTGCGGCGAAAGTTTCAGCAGCAGTTCCAACTTGAGCCAGCACCGGCGCATCCACACTGGGGAGAAACCCTACAGCTGTGGCCACTGCGGGAAAAGCTTCAGCCAGAGCTCCAACCTCATCAAGCACCGGCGCATCCACACCGGAGAGAGACCCTACAGCTGCCCCGAGTGCGGCAAGACCTTCAACCAGAGCTCGTCGCTCATGCAGCACCGGCGGATCCACCGTGGCGAGCGGCCCTACGAGTGCACCGAGTGCGGGAAGCGCTTCATTGACAGCTCCAAGCTCAACAAGCACCGGCGCACCCACACCGGTGAGCGGCCCTACAAATGCACCGACTGCGGGAAGGGCTTCAGAGACAGCTCTGCCCTCATGAAGCACCAGCGGACCCACGCCAAGCAGATGCATCTCAGCTGTGGGGAGGGGACTCTTGAGGGAGGGAAATTGACAGGACTGCAGGGGGACTCTCTGGCAGTATATCATAGGCTAGGAAACTGAGGCGTGCATGCATATCAATCATATAAGTATTTACCAACATTCTCATGTTCATCACAGCTTAATGGACACTTTGGAGAAGGCTTCCTTGTTCAAGGTGTGTCAGCGTGTCAGCGTGCTGGCACTGTCCCCAACTCTAAAGCATGCCCTGCCACACCCAGTCTTTTCAAGGAGGTCCATTTCTTTCACAGAGATTAGCACACAGAACAGGAAACAGCCTTAACTTAATCTTGGCCCCAGGCTTCAGGGCCACCCCACCCCGGGGTCTCGGGCATCCCTGTTCCTGGCAGTTTCCCAGTTTCAGCCACCTCTACATAAGAACGGTCATACTAGGTCAGACCATGGTCCATCTAGCCCAGTATCCTGTCTTCTGACAGTGGCCAATGCTAGGTGCTTCAAAGGGAATGAACAGAACAGAGCAATTATCAAGTGATCCATCCCCAGTCATCCAGTCCCAGCATCTGGCAGTCAGAGGCTTAGGCACACCCAGAGCATGGGATTGCATCTATGACCATCTTGGCTAATAGCTATTGATGGATCGATCCTCCCTAAACTTAGCTAATTCTTTTTTGAACCTAGGTATATTTTTGGCCTTCACAACATCCCCTGGCAATGAGTTCCACCGGTTGACTGTGCGCTGTGTGAAGAAGTACTTCCTTCTGTTTGTTTTAAACCTGCTGCCTCTTCATTTCATTGGGTGACCCCTGGTTCCTGGGTTATGTGAAGGGGTAAATAACACGTCCTTATTCACTTTCTCCACACCATGATTTTATAGACCTCTCTCACAGGGATAGGTCTGTGGTTTGAGTATTGGCCTGCTAAATACAGGGTTGTGAGTGCAATTCTTAAGGGAGCCATTTAGGGATCGGGGGCAGGGGGGGGAGAGTGATACTTGGGACCAGACTCAATGATCATTCAAGGACCCTTCCAGTTCTATGAGATAGGTATTACCCCCCCCTTAGTCTTCTCTTTTCCAAGCTGAACAGTCCCAGTCTCTTTAATCTCTCCTCACATGGAAGCTGTTCCATCCCCCTAATCATTTTTGTGGCCCTTCTCTATACCTTTTCCATTTTTAGCATAGCTTTTTGAGATGGGGCCATCAGAACTACATGCGGTATTCAAGGTGTGGGTGTACCATGGCTTTATACAGTGGCAGGGCTTCTTCCCTGAGCCCCCCTTGCTCCAGGGACCCACCACAGGAAGTAGCTCCACTGCAGTGTGGCTTTCCCGCTCCAGGGCTCAGCCTGTCTCAGTCGTTCCTCCCTCTAGCCACTTAATAGCAGCCCTTTATCGGCCCAGGTGTAGCCCAGCCATCTTTAATTAGTTGGATTAAGCTCACCTGCTCTTGTCCAGGGGGGCTGGACTTAGTCTATCCACAGGGACCAGCTACGCTGGGATACAGCCCTGGGGGGAAAGAAGGGAATATGCTGGAGTAGTCTGTCTATCTTGATTATGTTGGGTGGTGCTGTGGTTCCTGGAAAATATTAAAAGGAAATTAGATACAAAGATGTGGGATCTTTAGATCAATGTCCATAACCCCTGACTGCATCAGCGTTAAGGGTAGATTCTGATCTCGACGCCCATGTAAATCCCGTGTGACCCCTCTGATGTCAGTGGAGTTAGGGCTGGATTCTGATGGGTCTTATTAACAATTATTATTTGTTCCTTTAAGAGCCATGTTCAATTGCTGGATAACACACAAAGGTTCTGATCTATGTTTTTTATCCAGGCTGCTAGTGAGTTACTCTCAGTCCTGTTACAATGGGTCTGTCACACATAAACCCAGTAATTCAAAGGGCCAGAGTAAATCCAGAAGGACTCCAGGAAAGTCAACAGGATTACTCTGGATTTAAACCACTGGGACTGAGATCAGAATGCAGGCCAGACTCCAGTGATTGAGTGGGGTGCTGCTGGATTTACGCCAGGGTCACTGAGATCATAATCCAGCTCCATGATTTTAAAGTTCTATTGATACAGTACCTTAGACCGTGGAAGGAGCAGATGCTGGTGAAATTATACTTCTGTATTGACCAAAATTCTGCCTTCTGCTCCCTGAGCACTTTGGTGGGAGTGGGAGGGGCATGCTGACTGGGTCCCATTGAATGGTTAGTTGATTGTTGTTTTTGCATTTGTCTGTTTCCAATAAACTCTGATGCTTAAGGCACACCTGAGAGGAAAAGACTGTGTGTTATCATTTTAAACCTTGCTCTTTCCACTGAAATAGCTAAAAACCGTAGTTGTCACATCTCTCAGCTCTCCAGCCTCAACCCCACTGAGTCTGTGGCATTTTTCTACAAGAGGCCATGAAAAGAGGGATGGGGCTCGATGGGGGATTTTTATCTCATCCTTTAACAATGGAAGTGGCAGGGCTTGGAGCCGTCTCTCTGCAGCTGGGGATTTCCTCTGTTCCCAAACCAAGGGAGGCAAAGGCTCCCAGACTGGGATTCAAACCCACAGATCCCAGCACCACCCTCTTTTGCATATCCCCCCCTCAGCCCCTGCTGAGCTGGTTCCTTTATTCTCCCCTTGTAAACTGGTCCCTGCAGCCTCTGATCATGTCTGTTGCTCTGCCCTAGGCTCCCTGCAATCTGTCTATATCTCTCCAGGATTGAGGGACCCAGAGATGAGCCGCCAGAAGAGCCTCTCCTGGATTATATAGACAGGAACTATCCCCTCTGTTCTCAGGTCTGGGAATGGGACATGCAGCGTTTCCCCTCTAGGGGGCTGGAGCACATGAGTTATGAGGAGAGGCTGAGGGAACTGGGATTGTTTAGTCTGCAGAAGAGAAGAGTGAGGGGGATTTGATAGCTGCTTTCAACTATCTGAAAGGGGATTCCAAAGAGGATGGATCTAGACTTTCTCACTGGTACCAGATGACAGAACACGGAGTAATGGTCTCAAATTGCAGTGGGGGAGGTTTAGGTTGGATAGTAGGGGGGGAAATTTCACTAGGAGGGTGGTGAAGCACTGGAATGGGTTACCTAGGGAGGTGGTGGAATCTCCATCCTTAGAGGTTTTTAAGGTCAGGCTTGACAAAGGCCTGGCTGGGATGATTTAGAGATTGGACCTGCTTTGAGAAGGGGGTTGGACTAGATGACCTCCTGAGGTCCTTTCCAACCCCGATAGTCTATGATTCTAGATCCCAACATCCCACCCCCCCCTCCACTGCCACAGAACCTCCAGAGCCCAACATTCCACCCGACTGCCATGGAACCTCCAAACACCAACACTCTGCTCTCGGCTGCCACCGAACCTCCAGGCCCCGACATTCCACTCAGCTGCCACAGAACCACCAGAGCCAACCCCCATGGAACGGCTAGACCCCAACATTCCATCTGAAATGGACCCTCGCCTAAAAGCAGCTGATTTCCTCCTGCAGAGGTTACTCGGGGGGGGGGAGGGGCGTTAGGCAGCGTGGATCCGGAGCACTTTAACTGAGACACGGGACCCCGAACCCCAAGGAGCCCGTAATTCGGATTCCATCCGTTTCCTCTCCAATCTCTAGAAAGAGAAAGACTAGACCAGCACCCTCAGGGAAATCTACCGCCTGCTACCCCTCCCTGGGCACATCCCCTAGGGAGAGGGCACCCCTATTGCTCCCCACGCTGGTCTGGTCTGTAGTGTCTTCCCCAGGGGCTCCCATATCTGGCCAGCCCAGTCTCTCCATGGTAGGACCCTTTGCCTACTACTGTATCCGTCAAATCCCTGGGTTAAAATCATAGAGATCGGAAGCGCCCAGGACTAGAGCGGAGGCGGGATGAGCGGGGCTGTGATAGCGCCGGGACCTTCCTGTCCCAGCAGCATCCTGGACATCTGGGTCCCGAGCCCCGCTCCCGGCCCACGTGTGCGCAGGGCGAGTCCCCGTCTGCAGCCCCGCGCGGGGACGGAGAGAAACAGCAGCAGAGGCAGGAAATCGCTGCCTGGAGGAAGCGCTGGTGGGACGAGGGGGCCGGAGCCGAAGGCGGAGAGGGAGACCCCCCCAGCCCGATTCGGGGCAGCGCGGGTGGGTCTGTGCAGCTGAGCCCCGCACGGTGCCCCCAGCCCAGCCCGCTCGAGGGCAGCAGGGACGGGGGCGAGGGGTACCTGGGTTTGGTATTAAAGCCCAGGCGCGTTCTCCGCTCTTAGCCCTCGCGGGAGGTCATCTCATCGAGCCCCGTCTCGCCTGTTTCCTTCCCCGGCCCGGGCGCGATCCCCCGCATGGAGCCGAGGGTCCCGGATCTCCAGGGCTCCCCGGGAAGGGAGCTCCCCAGAGGCGCCCACACAGGTGAGGAATGAGCGACGCCGGCTGGGAGCGAAGGGAAAAGCTGGGGTCCCAGCCAAGCCAGCGGGAGCCCCCCAGGTCTGTCTCCCCTCGCTGTGTATCGTCCCCAGCAGGTCCCTGTCCTCATGGCACATCTCGGATCCCACCCCTCGCAGGAGCCCTCCCCCAGCCTTTCTCTGAGGGCTCAGCTGGGATGTTGGGGCAGCCCCTCCTCTCCCCTCAGGGAAGCATTGGGGGGGGGTTGCTTCTTATCTTCATGTTTCCTGCTCAGTCCCCTTTGTTATCCCCTCTCACCCCCTGGATTCTCTCTCTCTCTCCCAGCAGATGCCAGGACAGAGGAGGACAACTCCAAGCAGGAAGGCCCTGTGGGAGCAAAGCTGCATGGGATGTCCCACTGTCCCAAGCAGGGAGATGATGCCTGTGGGGTAGGACAACAGCAGGGAGCCCCCCCGGGGCAGAGACCTAATGATCTCGCCCAGCTGACCTCCATCCCAGCAGAGAAACCCTACAAATGCCACGAGTGCAACAAAAGCTACAGCCTGAGCTCGAACCTGAGCCGCCATCGCAGGAGCCACAGGGGGGAGAGATCCCACAAATGTGCCCAGTGCGGGAAGAGCTTCCACTTCAGCTCCCAGCTTGTCCAGCACCAGATCGGCCACACTGGGGAGCGACCCTACAAATGCCCTGACTGCGGGAAGAGCTTCGGTGTGAGCTCCAACCTTCTCCAGCACCAGCGCCTCCATTGGGTGGAGCGACCCTACAGCTGCGCCAACTGCGGGAAGAGCTTTGGCCACAGCTCCCTCCTGGCCCAGCACCAACGCATCCACATGGACGAGAGACCCTACAAGTGTGGGGAGTGCGGGAAGGCTTTTGGGGTGAGCTCAGCCCTGATCCGGCACCAGCGGATCCACACGGGCGAGAGGCCTTACAAGTGTCTGGTTTGCGGGAAGAGCTTCAACCTTAGCTCCAACCTTTTCACCCATCGCAGGATCCACTGGGATGAGAAACCTTATAAATGCCCTGAATGTGGGAGGAGCTTCAGCCAGAGCTCAAGCCTCAGCCGCCACCAGATCAGCCATACGGAGGAACGACCATACAAATGCCCCGAGTGTGGAAAGTGCTTCAACCAGAGCTCCCTCCTGATCCGGCACCAGCGGATCCACACGGGGGAGCGACCCTACAGATGCTCCCAGTGCTGGAAGAGCTTCCTACGGAACTCCCAGCTGAAGAGACACCAGAGTGTCCACACTAGGTAGGGGGCAGTGGTTGATGGCTCTCTGGTACCCAGCTGGGCCTGGGCCATAGCAGTTCTACAGACCAACCAGGATCACTTGGATAACTGGGATCGTCTCAACAAGATGTGTTTTAACACAGCCAAATGCAATGCTGTACATTCAGGAATGTATGAGAATTTGCATTTACTGGGTGAAGGACTGTATACTGGGACATAGTGACTCTGAATAGGACTTACGGGTCCTGGTGGATAACCAGTTGACCATCAGCTCCCAGTGTGATGCTCTAGCTAAGAGGGTAATGTGATTCTTCATTCTATAAACTGGGGAATATTGGCTGCTACTCTGAAACAGAGAGGGAGTATCGCCTCTGTATGCGGCATTGGGGAGACCATTGGAGGAGACTGCATAGGGTTACCATCCGTCCGTATTTCCCCAGACATGTCTGG